CGGTCGGTGCGGGCGTCGGGTAAAACCGCTGACTTTTCTGCGAGCTCCTCCTCGCCCTTCCCGGATCTGGTTTCTCCGACCCAGGAAGGAGCCTTTGTAACCTAACTGTGTCCCCATTTAAAGTGCTCGCCCTCGCCCCACCCCCAAGGAGAGAAGAAAAGTCTGCAGGGAAATAATTGCGCCCTGCAGAGAGACCGGAGCTCGCGGGGACCCGAAGGCCGGCGTGGGGGAGGGGCGCCCCGGTCCGGGTCGCTCCGCACCCCACCCTCCCTACTGTGCGTGGCCGGGGCCCCCGAGCCTCGGGTGATCGGCCGCCTTCAGAAGGCCCTGCTGCTAGGCACGGGGGCGCGCGCCGGCTTCTCTCCCTCCGTAAGCCGGTTTAGAATCCTGGGGATCAGCATCTCGGGATCCCTAAAAGTGAGGCGTGAGTATTTGTGTCTCCGATGCCCTCACGCGCCCCCCCCCCGCTCCCCCTTTCTGTGCCGCTTCCCTGAGCGGCTCCCCGGGTGTGAAAGGCCTCGGCTCCTCGCTGTCTCGCTCCCACCCCCGCGTCCTTTCTAACCCCAGCGTTCACTTAAGTCTAGTGGCCTCTTTCCCCTCCTTCTCTCAATACTGTTTCAAAATAGCTGTTACAGCAAATAGCCGCCGATGCGCCTCTGGATGCCGCCAGGAGCTGGCAGCTGCCCAGCGCGGGCGCACAGCCCCCGGGCAGTTCCACCAGACCAAAATAAGCTCCCGTGTTCCTCTCGCAGGGCTCGGCCTCCCGGGCGGGCCCGGGCATGTTTGGCGGGGCTCGCTATCAGCTCACAGCAAACCATCCTGGTTTCCTACTTGACTTCCTGCTGTCCGAAACCACAAGTGTTTTTAATTTTAGAAGACCATGGCGTGAGGGTCCCCGAGTAGCCACGCTTCTCGGCCTCCCTGATGCTGCGACCCTTTAACGCGGTTCTTCACGTTGTGACTCCCCAGCCATAAAATTATCGTTGCTGCCTTGGAACTGTAATTGTGCTACTGTTATGAATCGTAATGTAAATATTTTTGGAGTTAGAGGTTTGCCAGAGGGGTCGCGACCCACGGGTGGAGAGCGAGCGCTGTTGTAGAGGAAAGGAATGGGGAGGGTTAGAAAGAGGAGAAACAGGCTTATAAGTCAGTGTCTGCGCTGGAGAGTCCGAATGTCTGCAGTCACCTCAAGTCTTAAAAATCCTAAGTGATTAACGCTGCAGACGCCCATCGCTGGCCCAGGACACAATAGCCTCTGGGTGCCTGGGCCACCTCCACAGCCTGGCAGACTCTTCATGGTTTCCTCTAGGCTGGGGCGCCCTACATAGCCAGCTGTGCCCTGGCACCTGAGCACAGCCACCCACACGTGAGGCTTCATGTGTGTCCATGAGCACTCGGGCAGTTCTGAATGCGTGCTCACCACATTCTGTGGAGAGTCTCACATCTGTGTGTATACACAAGGGCAGGCTGGCTCAGCAGGCTGAGGCACTCGCCAAGCCTGACCACCCGAGTTAGATCCACGGCTCTCCCCTGGTACTCCCACGTTAGAAGGAGAGAACTGACTCACAAGCGTTGGTTGGTTGGTTGGTTGGTTGTTTTGGGGTTTTTTTTATTATTATTTTGTTTTTTTGCTGACCTCACACTCATGCCATGGTACAAGCAGGCCGGCAAGCATGCAGGCACACACAAAAATAAATAAATGTAATTTAAAAGGACAGTTTGAATCTCACACACAGCACACTGACACACATCACACACGACAAGCACTCTCAATTACAACTGACTGAACCCTGGCAGAGCAACCCATTACCCACAAACCCTGGTACCTCCTCCAGCGTTCCCCACTGCCCCTACAAGGCTGGAGCCTGGAAGCAGGCCTAGGCCTCCAGCTCCCAAATGACCCAGAGCCCACTGTGTGAACTCATTGAATAAATAATCACTTTTTAATACAAGGGGGTGGGGGTGTATCTTGAGTTACATAAAATTGTGAATTAGTCGCTGCTCCAAATAAATGCCTGCTTGGGCCAGAGAGCAGTGGCGCTGCACTGCGGGGTAATTGTGTGTTGGGTGTCTCTCCCATTGTTCCCTGGGCCATTAGTCAAAGGGCAAATTAGAAACAATTTCTTGACGACAAAAAAAAAATTGACTCTTAATTCTTCCCACAGAAGTGAAAGGGACAGGTCCAGAGGCCTAAGGCTGGAGCCTGGTCTGGAGGGGCAGGGGGCCCAGAGGGAGGGGGTTTTGCACCTGGGCAGTACAATAGCATGCAGGTTGTATCCAGGCCGGGGAAGGATGGGGGGGGGGATTCACAGCATCTGTCTCTCCTTCAACATGATGACAGTCCATCCTCAATCTAGAATTAGGGCTTGAAGGGATAGCTGGGGACATTGGGATCTTGCCCCCTTCTTTACAAAGGGGATCGAATTCAAAAGCCGCCTGAGGTACTGGCCTGGTTGGAAGAGGGGGTCTCACTAGAAGCACTACTGAGCCCTAGAAGGAATACTGCCGAGAAAAGTCTGAGTGTAGCCAGGTCACCCGCTTGGTGCTCTGTGCCTGGGAGCGTAAGGTTTGTGCACAACTTGATTGGAGGGGGAGAAGAGAGGGTGCCCTGGTCCCAAGATAAAGCCCCCCCAAAAGAACAGTACTTCAAACAGCCCGTTGATTTAGCTGGTCACAGAGGTGTGGGAGCAAGAGGTATTATTGCCCTGCTCTCTTGGGGGTATCCCAGCCCCCAGCTCCTGTCCCCTCCCAACTGGAGAAGGGACAAAACAGAAGCAGAGGAGGAAGGTTGCAGGGTCCTGTCCTGCTGAGTGTCCCCCTGTCCTCTGCACACCTCTGGAGGCATGGCTCTGCGCCCCTAGCCAACATCTCCCCCAAGGCGTTTCCCTGACACAGCTCCAAACCAAGCCTGGAACTTTGCTAAATTGAAGCTGGCTCAAGCCGGAGGGACCCCTGTGGGAGGCACAGGTTTTCCCTTCAAGGCCATAGGCAGATCTTAAGACCTGCTTCTAAGTTTTAAACACCGAGGAGAGGAGCCCCAGACCACTTTGAAGTCAGATAAACAGCTTCTCCGAGCCGCTGCAGCTTCCTCCCAGGGAGGTTTAAATTCTGTTGTTGCTGATTTCCTCCAACCAGGTCAGGAGGCTGCCCAGCCCCCTCCCCACACAGGAAAGGTGCTTGTTAAACACAGTCGTAATTTGTGGCTAAATATAACCCAGTGTGTTCACACGGAAAGCATAATTCAGAGGGCTCGTTGCATGAGGTTATCAGTGAGGAGACCCATCTGGGTTAAATTAAAGTGATTTTCATAAAGGGCAGAAGCATCTATTGCCAGGCTCCTCTTGGCCCTTTTACTAGTGATAGTGTGATATTTGTACTAAAGTGGGTGGGGTAAGGTGGGAGGGGGGCCGCACCCCAGGGCTCCCATTATAGATCTCTTCATCCAAGGCTGGATGAGGCTTCTATTATCCTGGGAAGGTTCTGGGGGAGCAAGGCAGGCTTTGGGGGTCTGCTAAAGAAGAACTGATTGATTTTCCTGTTAGGCTGATCCAGATAGCCCTCAATCTTGGTAGTGAGGAAGCGTGCCCGCCCCCCCCCCGCCCCATTATAGGAGCCCAGGAGGGAAAGCCCGGGTGGATAATCGGAGGGATTCTCAGTAATAGGTCAGGATGGCTGAGTGACAGAAGCAACCTTGGTCAGTCTTTGTGTTCCTTCCAGGTATAGCCCCAAAGTAAGATTGGCTTCAAGTCCTCCAAGACACCTGCTTCCACTGCTGGATGCACCAGACCTGGTTTTGAAGGAAGTACAGTGGCCACAGGATTACAGATTTCAGCTGTGTGCAAATGTGTTCACACAGGTCGAACGGCGGCGGGGTATGTCTGGAGTGACTCTCAGGAGCCAGATTTCTGCTGCCTGGTCTCACAGTGTCAGGGAAACCAGAGGAGGCTCCTGCCTCTGCTAGGCCCTAGAAAGACATGCAGGCTGAGTGTCAGGAACTCCTCCGACCCAGCTTTGCTGAACTCTAGGCCCAGGGTTTGCAGGATCCACAGCCACCAGCCCCTGGCCACCTCAGTTCCGGCTCCTCACCACCCCAGCCCTGTCAGCAGGCAATCTCCTACTCTCTTCCTTTCAAGCTCCCACACTGTGAAAAGTCCAGTTAGCCAGACTTCCCCCCCACAGAGAGAGCCTGGTTGGGTCACTTCCCTTGTTCTGGAGCTTTCTCTACCCCCAGCTCCCTGGTGGTAGTCCCGCTTTCGGAGTAGGACTTTACACCCAGCAGAAGAACCCCGGAAGGTTTCTATCAGTTATATGACACATACACTGTGCACCTTCTCCGTAATTTCTGTGGAGGATTGAGTCCTTAGTCTAGTTACCTGCAGTATTTATAAACCAAATAAAATTTCCTTCCAAGTTCCCAACTGAGTCAGGTCCTGTGGCAAAGCTCTGTCTCTAGCCTGGAGACAACTGGACCACCTGACTGCCGGCTGGAGTGTGGTGTGGCCACCGCCTCTTTTGTTAACAGGACAGTTGATCCATTAAATTAAAAATCAGTCAATAGATCCATTTTTTCCTAACGTGTGTGAATACACATTCCACCCTAATTCTCAGACATCAATGCCAGCGGAGGTAGGGAACTACCAAGGGACGTTTCCACAAGTGGCCCCAATAGGAAACTACCGGAATAACCTCATCACCAGAATCCAGGATAGCCAGAGGAACCTGGCTAGGGGCCATCACTAAACCCCCAGTTCCCCCAACTCACTTTCTAGCATGCCCCACTTGGGCAGACGCTGAAATGCGGGGATGCAGACAGAGCTGTGGGTCAGCCCCAGTGGCACTGGGGATCCGGCATGAGGCCCCTTGCGGCTTCTCTCTGCGCGCTGAACGCGCAGACACAATTGGGGGGGACGGGGTAGTCTTCTTCCCACCGGGTTTTTAAGTAGCAGGATTTTCAGATGCAAACAAACAAACAAAAAGCCTCCTGAGGTGGGCGGTAAAAAAAAAAAAAAAAAATCAAAGCCTCTACATCCGAGCCAGAAACAAAAGCTCTTTGGAAGTGCCGCGGCGGGCGGGCGGAGTGCATCTCGGATCCCGAGGAGGAGCCGCCCGGACCCGCATCCGGAGAAGGAGCCGGCGGGTGTCCCCACCTGCTCGCCGGCCGCTCAGTCCTGTCCCCGAGAGGAGGAAGGCGGCCAGAGGCACCACAACCACAAATTTATGGCCTGGGTGACGTGCTTTCCTCTCCCACAATGGGGCCTGGTGACATTAAACAGAAAATTGATGAGAGGGAAGCGAAATCTAATCTTTTCCACGTCGGCTCTTCGCGCTTTTCGGGGAGGGGGTTGGGGCGGGGAGAAGACAGCGGCTGCCTGGAGTTGAGAGCTCTGGGCCGGAGGCTTCCTTCCCTCTGGTTGGTTTCTCGACACGGGCATGCACGGCCCGCCCGCGCGCCCGCGTGCAGCTGCATTCCGGGTAGGATTTCGGAGCCTGGCACCCGAGTGGCCTTTGGAACATCCCCGGTGCTCTCCCAGGCACACCCCGTCCAGAGCAGGGCATCCCACCCCCGCCCTGGCCACCAGCGCCCACTCCCCACTGCTGCACGGTTCCCGGGGCGCACCGGGTGCCTCCTGTTACCGAACTGCGCCCGCTAAGTCCTTAAAGGAGCCGTTCTTCTTCCAGCCTTTGTCGGAGCGTCTAGGGGAAGGTCAAGAGGGTGCCAGGACAATGCCCTAGGGGCCCGGCGGTGAAACCTAGGCCCAGCCGCACTTTACCTAGATGCTCCAGGCTAGGTGTTGCCGCCTGGGTTGTGCTGGTACAGCTGCTGAGGTCTGAGCTTTCGATGAGAGCTCCCCTGGACTCCAGGGGATGAGGCTTGAGCCAGCTCAGGCCCTGCTTGCCTCTCTGACCTGTGTGAGAACGTGAGTGTCAGCGTCTACTTCTGAACACCACTAGCGTCTCAGGGCCCACGGGGAGAGGGGATGATTCCCATTTTACAGTCACCAAATTAAGGCAGTTTGACAAGTAACTTTCCCCCACGGAGGATCTGGATATGTAGACAGACACTCAGAGAGTTCCACCTTTGACCTTGAAAGCCAGGAACAGAAATGTGGACCTAGAGACTAGCCTTGGGTATTTCGGACCACCACATACAAAGAAGAATGTTCCAGAAGTCCATTTTCCTGGGTAAGCCTCTCTGAAGGCTACACTGGGCACCCTGTCTGGATCCCTGGATAAAGCCCAGAAGGGCAGGTCTCCCTCTCAGAGCCTGGAGAAATAGCTAATGAACAGTGGGAATCTGGAAGCCAGATCCCAAAGGGTCAGGTTGGCCTGAAACCAACAAGGTTACCCTTAACAGGCTGGAAGTGAACCCCTACTCATAGGTTCAAAAATGGGTTGTAAAAACCGCAGGCAGCTTCCCACTGTGGACAGGAGTAGCCAACCGCAGCTGCTGCATCATTCAGGCTGGACATGGACGGACACACACATACACACACACACCTATTCCCAGCACACACACACACACACACACGCCTATTCCCAGCCAGCTCCCTTGTGAATCTCTCTGAGTGCCTGCAGCTGAGCTTGGCCCCAAGGGTGGGGGCTCCCAGGATGTCTGACCCAGAGCTTCTGATGTCAGGCCCTCTGGGGGAGGGGACGCAGCTGGGGACAGCAGAGAATGGGGTCCTTGTGCCACTGTCATCAGGTCCAGGGCTTCCATGAACACGGCTTTGTTCGAACCCACACCCCGTGGTGACCACGGGACCAGAGGATCAGTGGGGGCCTCAGAACACGCACAGCCTGCCTTTTGGCTTTTTGGCCTCAGTTAACTCTTAAACAGTTATTGGCTGCACAGTCTCCCCAGCCATGTGCCTGGGGGCAGGCAGCAGAGATGAAAATTCAGCTCTAAGTCCAAGGTCTGAAACTTGGTTAAAGTCAGATTTTCTGTTAAAATGACTGTAGCCAATGGCTGAGGTAAAGAGTAACCAGGTGAAGGGATCTGTGTGGGATGCAACTGACTTAGTCAGCCTTCCTTCAGATTCCAAGTGCAGCCAGCAGCAGAAAAGCCCACTGACAATTCCCAGTCTGGCCCGGCTTTGGTATGGAGCAAAGCACCTGAGAATTCTTGTTCGTGCTGAGAAAGAGGCCTCACTCCAGGCAGTGAGCAGCCAGGCCAACCCTCAGCCCCTGATGAGGGGCCCCCAACAGAGGCCCTTGTGGATCCCCGGAGCAGGTGGGTTGTAGATCAGTCCTGGAGGGTAAGTGGGGAGAACTTCTCAGAGGCCTGGTGATGAACAGCAACAGTGGGGTCTCGTTTAGAATGTGGGGCTCCTCCCTGGACGGTTTGCGAAGAATTACAAAGGTGATGTCACTGGGACCCTGGGAACTCGGACAATACTGAGTGGTCCACTCCTGGCTCAGCAGTCCAGGGACCCCAGAACCAGGGCAATAGAAGGATGGGTGAATTTTATTCTATTTATAATTTTTCCTATTTCTTGAATTTCTCTCGAAATGTATTTATTTTGCAATCAGAAATAACTAATCAACACTACCCCAGAAAGTGTACAGGCCCAAATGCCCGTGGCTTGCTATAAAGCTGGGTCCTGTACCTTAGCTGTAGGCCCCTGTGCCATCCCTGTCCCCCCATCCTCATCTCTGCCCGCAGGTTCCCGGCGTTGTTTTAGGAACACACATAGAGAGGGAGGCCACTTAGTCAGATGAGATTCCTGACCGTGAGTAGCTGCACAGCCCTGGGGAGGGCAAGCCAGTAACATGCAAACATGCATGTTGAGACCAAAAAGGTGCCAGGTGCCCACTGCATCGGGGACTCAGAAGTCCTGGTCTTCAGGCTAGAGCTGGCCTCCATCAGAACTCCAGAGCTAAGGAGCAGTCCCAGCAGTCCAGAGCCCTGTCCTTGAAGATGGGACTGGTCTGCCAGCCCGTGCTCAGAACCATGAAGGCAAGCAGCTGCTAGATGTCAAGGGCCTTGGCAAGGCTGGGCCCCTTCCCCAGCCCTCCACAGGTCCCTGCACCATCGTGGTCATGTCCATGTCTGCTCCATCAAGTCTGCCCCTGTAACTGGTGATTGTTTGGCCCCAACCGTTCCCCAGTGTGGGGGTCCTGGAGGATTTTTGTCAGGAAGTGAGTGGGAGGTGAGCTCCAGGGGTCACTGACTATGTATAGGACCTGGGTGTGGCTTGGCCTGTTAGCAGAATAGTCCTAGGACTCTCAAACCTCCTGGAAGGGTAGGGAAGTTTGGAAACTAAAGAGTCAGCAAGGGAGGGGATAGATAAGACAGGGCCCACTGCCACTCTCCATGGCAAAGAGGAAGTGCCTGACACAGCAAGGCCCCAGCCCTGCTAGTAACTGCTTCTGTGGGACCTGGGACCGTTGGAGGTTCTGCCCATAAAAAGGAGGGGCTCAAGGCCCACTCCCACAAACCCACCTAGGGAGGACACAGGAGAGCTGGATGGACATGAACACAGGTCATGCTATCCTGGCCCTGAGAACCCAGAGCATGAGGGTTAGGCTGTTAGCTGTGGGGGACCAGAGGAACCTAGTGGGTGACTAACACTGACTTAGGGAGCCCCGGAGAGGCCAGAGGAGAGCCTGTCCTATGCACCCCCACACCATAAAGCAGACCCCAAAATGGAAGTGGGGCCTGCACGGCACAGATTCTGCAGACCACCTGCTGACTTCCACTTCTTCCCTCACATGTGACAGGCTAGGTGGGTGCTGGGGAGGAACCAAGGCCCAGGGGAACACGCCTGACAGTTGGGTGGGGCTGTCCCGTAGGGGAAAGATAAGTGTCTTGGCATTTCCCTCCTACCAGGTAATCACATTATTAATAAACCACAGGTCCAAAGTTCAAAGGTTGAGGTGTGAAATTGGAAGCAGAAAAGTGAACGTCTTGTCTCTTGTCGTGAAGCAGGTGGCCTGTCCCCACATGGGGTGGGGGCCGACAGAGAGACCCTGCCTCGCCCACCACCCACACCTGTGACCCCGCCCTCCTCAGACACCCCCCAGGCCACAATAGAGATCACAGACTTACAGGGCACCTTGCCCCAGAAGCAAGGGTTCTACAGAGGACACACACCGCCCTTCCCGATCCTACGTGGCATCCTTTCCTATAACTGAAGCCCCTTGGTCATCTGCTTGTCCTGGAAGAGGCCCGTCTCTGTCTCCAGTCACACAGTGTGACGAGGCTGTGACTTGCACGTGCACACAACAGACAGATGCAAAGCCCAGGTCTGCATGGAATTGGCTGGGAGAACAGGGTATCTCGCTTCATCCTCCCTGTCCAGGTCTTAACAGGGATAGAACTCCACAGGGACTCAAGGAACTTGGTAGATGGGCAGCCTTCACTAACAGGGGGAAACCCTGTCGCCTGACAAGATGCTCTTTCTTGCTACCTTTTTCTCTCGGTAAAAACAACTGTCCATGACAGGCATGTCCGTCCACCAACTGGTGAGGAAATGATGGAGATCGCAGACCTGCTCCAGCAGGTAGGGAGGGGAGGATTCAGTCAGGCAAGTTTCTAAAACGGAATGTGAGCAGTTCAATCTGGCTTCTCCCCCTAGAAAAGGTGGCAGAAGCTAGGTGCCAGGGCACCTGGGCACAGGGAGCCTCCTTCCACACATCAGCCTTTGGTTCCTTGGGTGACCAATGCCTTTTCTATGGAAAACTGTCTTAGGGACACTTGAGTGTTCAGTGGCCTCTCCAGGTACCCTGTACCTCCAGTCATCCAATAGGCAGGGCAAAGTTTTCCTAGGCTGCAAAGAAGACAGCAGACACTCAGCTCTAGAAGGCAGAGGGGACTGGCCAGATTCAATTCAGCCTGTCCCTATGTGAACTACCCCATCTTTCAGACAGCTGTGGAGATTATATATATATATATATATATATATATATATATATATATATATATATATATATATATATATATATATGTATCCAACAAAAAACAAAATCTCCACCTTTCTCTTGCCTGGCTGCCTCCGGGGTGAAAGGAGACACCAGCCTGGTGACTTTGCATTTCTTTCTGGATAGAAGTCTAGAGGCCTGGAGTGCTTCCAGGGGCTGGTGATCAGAACGACCTTCTAAGGTCCTCACTGGCTGGGAAGGCCCAGGCCACTTCCTTCACCAGGGTAAAACCCCTCTTTGGTGTTCTCATTGTACCCCAGACATGGAAGACACTGAAAGAACTTGTGCAGATGTGTCACCTGGCAGAGTCACAGGGTGTAGAGAAACTGTCTTCTGTGAACACGTGGAGGACAATGGGATCCAGAGACGAAGAGCAACTTGTTCCAAGTCACACAGCCGGTGAGGAACAGCCAGGCTTTGGTTTTGTCTCTTTCATCTGGTCATAGCTGTCCCTTGGGCTGGAGGCCCAGCCAAGAGGTGCACTGTCTGACCTCAAACCCCAACCTTGAAAACCTGGATGACTCTGGGATAGGGTTAACACTGCATTTATTTAATGAATTGCTACTTACTCACTTAAATTTATATTGATTAGTTTTGTTCTTTGACAGTTTTATATGTGTATATATTCTGATCACTCTGTCTCTCTTTATATCCCTACCAATCCAGAGTCATGACTTTTGGTTTTGTTTTGTATTTAGTTAATTATTAACTCTTTCTTTTTCTTTTTTGTTTCTTTTTCTTTTTTTTTTTTCTTTTTTTTTTTTTTGGAAATAGGGTTTCACGATGTAGGGCAGGCGATAGTTTTAAATTGACAGAGATCCTCCCATCTTTGCCTCTGCCTTTGGGATGCTGAAGTTAAAGGCGTGTACCAGCATACCTGCCCTGTTTAATTTCTGAGGAAGGTTTTCGTGTACTCTAGACTGACCTCAAACTCACTGTGTAATTGAGGATGGCCTTGAACTTCTGATCTTCCTGCTTCCTCCTCCCTCATGCCAAGACTACAGGCCTGTGCCACACATTCATTGTTTTGTGGTATTTGGGACTCAGGTATATGTAGGCAGCCACGCTGCCATTTCACCAGCTCCTGTAAATAAGTAAAACCCATCTTCTTACTTTTTTTGTTTGTTTTGTTTTGTGAGACAGGGTTTGTCTGTATAGCCCTGGCTGTTCTGGAATTCACTCTGTAGACCAGGCTGATCTTAAACTCACAGAGGTCCGCCCGCCTGTGCCTCCTGAACCCTGAGGTTAGGAGTGAGTGCCACCACCACCACCACCACCTTTTACATTTTATATTTTAGGTCTCTCCACATAGTTCAGGCTGACCTGGAACTCACCGTATAGCCCAGGCTGGCATAGAACTTGCTGTAATCTTCCTGTCTCTGTCTCCCACGCGTTGAGATTGCTGATGTGAGCTACCATACCCAGTTACTAGTATTGTGTGACATGTCCAGTGCTGTTGTCCTTGTGGCCAGGATCTGGCCACACTTTTTCCAGTCTCTGGAGGAAGCTTTGGGGTTCTCAGCCTCTGAAAGAGGAAGGAGGAGGGCTGTGGACAGAGAAATAGGGCCCAGAGGCCTGGCAAAGCAAACATGTGAGCAAGAGGCAGCCCTGCTCTGCATGGGGAAAACTGAAGGGAGAAAGAAAAGCCCCTGGATATGAGGCAGGGTGGGAGTGACCAGCTCCAGGCCAAGGAAAGTAAAGACCCAAAGCCTCAACACCAGAGACAGGGTGAAGGAATCTCCCTCAGGGCATCCAGGAAGACCCAACCCTCCCCACAAATGGATTGGGGCTTTTAACCTCCAGACCAGTACAGGTGAGCGGTGGGGGCTGAAGCATGTAAGTACACTCTTATCTGGTCACATAAGCCCTTGTTTGTCTTGTGGATTATCTGGGGGTTCTCTGGACGGTGACGGTCACAGAGAGAGGCCAGTTAACAGCACTTGTCTCCTGTGATATGGAGTTGGTAAGTCCAGCAGTGTGGGCAACAGATGGCGGTGTTTGTGTCCCAGATCACCCAGACTGGAAGAAAGCCCCTCACACACACTTGTTCCATTTGGTTCCTCCTTCAACTGATTGGACGAGGCCCACCCCCACCAGGAAGGGCAGGCCTCTGTGCTCAGTCTACATGCACCCTGTCAAAGGATGACCTCATTTGGACATACCCTCAAGGACACACCCAGAGTCAATGTCTGGGTGTCTCCCGACCCAGTCAAGTCAACACAGAAAATGAGCCATCGCCTGTTTAACTACAGCTAGGAGCAGGACACCATCAGGCATCAGAATGTGTAGAAGAGGCCAAATGGCAACAGGGTGCCGTTGTGCAGTCTCTCTCCCAGCTGTTTCCCAGTCTCACCAACGTCAGAGTTGTCTCTCTTGGCTTAGCTGTTCTAGGGAGTATGAAGTAACATCCTCGCGCTTAAGTCTCCCTTTCCCAATTTCCCAAATGATTGGTAAGGGTGGCCATTTGTTTACCTGCAGATGAGCCTTTTTGATGCCTTTGGGGTCTACAAAGCAACTGTTTGATTTAAAAACTGGTTGGTTTGCTGTTTTCTTACTGGTTTGTAGGAGCTCTTGGTACAGTGCAGATACAAAATCTTGACCAAACATCTCTCTGTCCACCTATCAAGAGCCAAAGAAGTAGGGAGCGATGTGTGGCTCACCTTCTCACTCTCCTAAAGGCACCTCCAAGTTCTTAGTGTTTTCCCTGCTCCATGGTGGCAGGGATCAAACCTAGGACCTTGTGCACTGTTAGGTGAGCATTCTACTGCTCAGCAGGCTCTCAATATATGTATGTATGTATGTATGTATGTAAATGACGCTGGAGCAGCGGTAGAGGACCTGGGTTCATCTCCAGCACCTACATGTCAGCCCACAACTGCCTGTAACTCCAGTTCCAGAGGACTTGACATCCTCACGGAGGCAAAGCACAAACGCACATGAAATAAAATAAATTATTACATTTATTCGCTCGTGTGTCTATATGTGTATGCACACCCAGGTACATGTATGGAGGGCAGAGGGCAGCTTGCAGGAGTCTGGTCGTTCTCTTCCACTGTGCAGGTGCTGGGGAGTCGGTGAGCTTAGGTGATCAGGATTGGCGGCAGGACTTTGACCTACAGAACCATTTTGTCAGCCTGATTCTTACATTCTTGTGGCATGGTTTTCATGGCCACTGCCATTGGCGTGCTGCCGCAGCAATCTGCTAAACACACCGCCTGAGAAAGCCCCTATATTTTATTCTAGAAGAATATATATATATATATATATATATATATATATATATATATATATTGCAAAGCTGGACAGAGGGCAGTTTTTTCCTGTCACTGTCCAGCTGACATGGCACCCTAGAATGAAGGGCTGCACTTGCCTGCTGCACTGCAGTAGTCTTTGTTATAAATCAGCAGGTGGGGGAGGGGTGGCTTCCTGGACCCGCCCTCCTGTCCACTGGTCTATTTGACTGTGCTTGTGCCAATCATCTGGGCCTTTACCGGCTACTCAAAGCCCACCCACAGGTTTAGGCAGAAGGGCCTCAGGCTGAGGCTGCAGGCAGGCCACAAAGCTTATCAGTGTTGGGCCCCATGTGTCTACTCAGCTCCCTCTCCCTGGAGAGTGGCTGCATTCCCTCCTCTGTGATCCCCAGGCAGCAAACTGAGCTGCCTGACTGGGCAGCTAAAGGCCTAACCAAGACTCTGCCGCAGTTCCCAGGTAGGGCCTCCTCAGGCCTGATCCAAGCTGTACACTCTCCTAGCCCGACCCAGGCAGACCCCCAAGCCCACCCTACTCCAGAACTGTTCTAGGTAGGATCACCTGAGGTCTATCCTCAGGAGACTGGGGTATTAGAGGGGACAGCCATTGAAAAGGTCTTCCTGCCCCCTTCTGCACTGTGAGCTCTAAGGCTTACCCACCACTCATGCACCTCGGGCCTTCTAGGCCTGGCACAGGAAAGAGGGATCCCACGTGGAACCAGACACTGGGGCTTATGAGGAAGTGAGGGCGGCCAGACTATGAACAAACACACATGTCAGGGGGGTTGCCTGGTGACTGGCAGGCCACACAGTGCTGCCATTTTAAGTCAGGTCATGCTGACATCTGAGGACAGATGAGGAGCAGACCCTACAGGTGTGGGGAGTGCTTCAGGAGGAGCAAAGGCCCTGAGGCTTCCGAAAGGGAAAAGAGACCAGGAGCCTTCTGTGGGATAGGAAGGGGAGAGGGAGGAATGTTGGCCTGGATGATCTGGAGGGTGGGGACAGAGTAGCTGGATTCCAGAGGCCGTCGCAGGTCACCAGTGCCTCTAGCACTGGGACTAAAGCATAGGGCACCAGGTCAGGGCCTTAGGCATTCGAGGACATCGATGGCTGCCTCTGGAACTGGACAGGAAGGGTCATTCGAAACAACAGGACAACAAAGAGAAGGTAGTCAGCCAGAGAAGAGGTGCTGTGTCTGGGAAGGACAGGGCTAGGGCTGAACTTTACATGATTTCTGGGACCCCAGGGGTCCAGGGGTTGGAAGGTTGGAGTCACCCATGCCTGCAGTCCTGGGTCTGATTGTCTGAGGGCTGCTTCTCTAAGCTGTGGGTTGAGGGTTAGAGAACCTCTAAGACACCTGGGCTCTTTCTGTGTGGTTGTCCATCAGTCAGGAGCTGGGGTGTGTGAAGTGTGCCCTCCCTGCTGGGCACATGAACTTAGGGGCATAGCAGGGAATGGAAAACAGCAATGCAGATCGGGTCATGGCAAGGGCGGGAAGGGACAGGATGGAGCCTCAGGCAGAAGGAGGTCAGGGAGGGGACACCATCAGGCGTGTCAGAAAGTCTGGAGAGGAAGGGCTTCTCTGGGAAGGAGTCACCCTGGGACCCCAAAGGTGGCTGGAGAGGTGGCCCTTGGATCTGGTGCTATGAATGCAGTTGGTGACCTTGTTGTGGAAAAATTATTTTAAGGTGTATTAATTACATTTGTTTATGCTGTAGAACAATTGTTTTAATGACAAAAGGATGTGTTGCATTCTTTTATGTTGCATTTGTTTAACTCTGTGAAGCTGTGTTTCTTTGCCTTTCTAACACACCTGATGGTCTAATCAAGAGCTGAATGGCCAATAGCAAGGCAGGAGAAAGGATAGGCAGGGCTGGCAGGCAGAGAGGATAAATAGGAGGAATTTGGGGAGAGGAGGATATCAGGAGCCAGCTACCCAGCCAGCCACAGAGTAAGAGTGAAAGTAAGACACAGAGAAGTAAGAAAAAGGGGGGAAAAAGCCCAGAGGCAAAAGGTAGTCAGGATAATTTAAGTTAAGGAAAGCTGGCTAGAAACAAGCCAAGCTAAGGCCGGGCATTCATAAGTAAAAATAAGACTTCGAGTGATTTATTTGGGAGCTGGGGGGCAGGCCTCCCAAAGAGTAAAGAGTAAAAAACAAAACAAAAACAAAAACAAACTACAGACCTTCACTGGCTCTCATATGTCCTCAGATCCATGCCCCAAGCTAAGTCCCAGCACATAGGGTTGACAGCTGTGTGGCCACCGAGCAGCAGGTTGAAGTCCTGAGTCCCCTCCCTGCCAGGTCTTCTGGCTTCAACTTTCTGACACAGGAATACACTCACACCTGTTACACAGACAGACAATAAATACATCAGTACTTTTCAAGGGTCGCAGGCTCTGCAGATCAGTCGACAGGAAATCGTCTCCTCACAGCTACAGAGGCTGCAAACTGAAACCAAGGTGTGAAGGCGTGCCTCTTGTGCTGAGGAGTGGGTGGGTGGGTCTGTGTCCCAGGCTGACCACTTTGTGCTTTTCAGCAGTCAAGGGGGCGGCTTCACTGTCCCTGCTTCACAGCCATGCAGTTCCTTGGTCTCAGATGGTCCCCTGCCTCACCCAGGTTTTCCCATCTATATATGTATATATGGGATTATATAAATATGGGATATATATATATATATATATGGGAATATATAAAATATGCATTCTTAAAAAATTCTCAAGCCAGGAGTTGGTGGCGCACGCCTTTAATCCCAGCACTCGGGAGGCAGAGGCAGGCGGATCTCTGTGAGTTCGAGGCCAGCCTGGTCTCCAGAGCAAGTGCCAGGATAGGCTCCAAAGCTACAGAGCGAAACCCTGTCTCAAAAAAAAAAAAAAAAAGACAGTATTTCTTTGTATAGCCCTGGCTGTCCTGGAACTCAGTCTGTAGACTAGGTTGACCGCAAACTCATCACAGATCTTCCTGCCTCTGACTCCCTCCCAAGACTGGGATTAAAGGCATGAGCTGCTGCTGCGGGCTTTCCCATATTTTATTTATTTATTTATTGGTTTTTCGAGACAGGGTTTCTCTGTGGCTTTGGAGGCTGTCCTGGAACTAGCTCTTGTAGACCAGGCTGGTCTCGAACTCAGAGATATCGACCTGCCTCTGACTCCCGAGTGCTGGGATTAAAGGCGTGCGCCACCACTGCCCGGCTTCCATATATTTTTAAAGTTTTATTATTTTCTGTGTATGGGAGTCTTGTCCGTATGTACATCTGCACATCACATGTGTGCTTAGTGCCTGTGGAAGCCAGAAGAGGGTATCAGACCCTCTGGACCTGGAGTTACAGAGCCACCATACAGGTGCTGGGAATCAAACCTGGGTCCTCCGGAAGAGCAGCCAGTGTTCAACTGCTGAGCCAGCTCTTCAGCCCCATTTTCCCATGTTCTTGGGAAATTTATGTTGCAAGATGGCGCACACCTTTAATCCTAGCACTCGGGAGGCAGAGGCAGGCAGATCTCTGTGAGTTCGAGACCAGCCTGGTTATAGAGCAAGTTCCAGGACAGCCTCCAAAACAATACAGAGAAACCTTCTGGGCGGGGGGGGGGGGGGGGGGGGGGGGGAGATGAGGAAACAGAAGCGAGGAGTGGAGTAACGTTGTTCCAGTTACAGAGGCCGTGCTGGTGCTGGAATCCCAGTCAGTCTGACTTTGTGTCCTTGAACACTGTGCCACTAGCAAACTGCATTTACGTCTAAGCCAGCACAAAACTTTTCTTCAATTTTGTGTGTAAGTACACTGCGAACTGTTGGGGGATGTCATACAACCCAAGGGAAGGACTTTTTTTTCTGTATATATTTTTCTAGAATGCCATTGTGCTGGCTAGGTTCATGTCAACCTGACATAAGCTAGAGTCATCTGAAAGGCGGGAACCTCAATTGAGAAACTACCTCCCTTAGATCCAGTTGTTGGACATTTTCTTAATGAGTGATTGATGGGAGAAGGCTCAGCCCATTGTGTGCGGTGCCATCCCTGGGCAGGCTGTCCTGGGTTCTATAAGTAGACTCAGTTAGGCATGGAGGGCCAGCCAGCGAGCAGTTTCCCTCTATGGCCTCTGCAGCAGCTCCTGCCTCCAGGTTCCTGCCCTGTTTGGGCTCCTACTCTGACTTCCTCAGTGATGGACTGTTAACCTGGAAGTGTGAGTGAATAAACCCTCCCTCCCGAAGTCAAGTTGCTTTAGTCATGGCGTTTCTTCACAGCAATGATAACCTGTAATGATAACTCTTTCCGCCAGCCACCTGGGTTCTGCTGCCGCTTTAGGCCCTCAAATAACACACAGAGTGTTATATTAGTTACAATACTGCTGGCCAATGACTGGTATTTCTTATTTGCTAGCTCAGTCTTAATTATCAACCATAACTACTAATATATATATATATATATATATATATATAGTTATTCTTGGGTTTTTTTAGATTTTATTTATTTATTATGTATACAACAGTCTGCTTCCATGTATATCTGCACACCAGAAGAGGGCACCAGATCTCATAATGGATGGTTGTGGGCCATCATGTGATTGCTGGGAATTGAACTCAGGACCTCTGGAAGAGCAGTCAGTGCTCTTAACCTCTGAGCCATCTCTCCAGCCCGTAATCTATATATTTTTATATGGACTTATCTTACCGAAGACACCAGCCTTATGTGT